CGCCTGCTGCTCCTGGCTCGCAAGCGCCTCCTGCCGCTGCTCCGGCGCCTAGGGGCCCGCTTGGGCTCCCGGGAGTCCCGCGAGGCGGTGCTCACCTGCCTAATCTGCATCCTCAACTTGCGCAAGAAGGCGGACGACTGAGACCTCGAACCGGACAGCGCCGTGCACCCAGCCAGGCGGAGAGAGCATACAGCCCAGCAGTCAGCCCCGGAGCGGGGGGGAAGTTGCTCAACACTCTGCAGGAGCCAGGCCCCCGCCTGAGAACAGACTCCCCTCTTCCCATCCCAGCTCTGCAGAGCTGCACCGTTTCCAGCCCTTCCCTGCGAGGATCATTTCCCTCATCTTCTGAAGATGGGACCCATTCCCCCGCTGGCCCCCCTTCTCCTCTCACTCCCTCTCCCGCCTGTTTGCTGACTCTGGAAGGGATCCCTCCCCTTGCTCTCCCCTCCCCCCCACTCCTCAAGAGACCTGGGATGGTGTTTTTGTGACTGGTGCCCTGTGGAACAATTGGAAACCCCACGTTTTGGGCCATTTCAAAGGAAGCTGGAAAGAGGCCTGGGAAGTGATCTGGCCCTGGGCCCTGGGGGACGGACTAGACGGCACCAACTGGGGCTTCTCCATCTCTGTTTCTGGAGGCGGAGTTCAGCTGAAATCCTGTGTCGTTTCCTTGCCCCGAGGCTGTGCAGGCTGCTGGCTGGATCCTTCTCTGCCTTCCCTCTCCTTTGGCAGCTACATGGGGAGTTTGGGGTTGTGATATCTCCTGAGGACTCCACAAGGCCCATGCTGGGGGAAGGATGTCCGGCAGCACAGTGAGGAAGGTCCAGCCCTTTACCATCAGCACCAAGCTCTCCCTGCCCAAGTGCACTGGGGACTTTCCTGCGGGTTCCTGCCCTGATGACACCACGGCTGCCCTGGATAACCGAGTCCTGTGCCAGAACCTCAATGAGCGTGTCCCCCTCTACTTGACCCAGGCTCAGTCCAGCCCAGTGCCCACTGAAGGTGGGTTCCGGAGCACCAGCTCAACTGAGGAGGGCATCACCGAGGAGGACCAGCTCAACCGCAACTCGCTAGCCCGCTCTATTAAGAAGATTACACTATCCAATTGGCAAGGGGAGGCTGGCCCAGGTGAGGAGGGGGTTCCAGGGAGTCCTGGACACACCAGCTGTGAGAGGAATCATAACAACAACAACAGCAGACCGGGGAAGGCTCATTTCAAGGTAAGAACTCTGTACCTGTGTCTGTACCCTGCAGAAACATGGTCTTTTCCTGTGCTGTGCTGCTCTGCATTCTGCCTCTTGTTACACCAGGGCTAGATTTGCCCCCTTAAGCCCCCAACCATCTCTGTTCTCAGCTGTGGGAGTCTGTCTCCATGTCTGCTGCCCTCTTTCCTTCCCAGTGAGAGGAGAGAGCAGAGGGCATGTGGAGGGGGACAAGCATGGGATTGGGGAAGAATGTCCCTTCTTATGAAGGGCCACTGGGAGCTCACTGGCTTCTCTATTTGTCCTGTTATTGAAGACTGGCCTTCTGGGAGCACTGACCACATGAGCTGTAAAGGCAACATCACTGCTCCCCCTCCCCCACAGAAGAAACCCTTTCTGAGGGGAGTTTGGAGAGAAATAAATGAGCATTCCTGAGCTTGGGAGAATCTGAATCCAGGGTTTGTTCCTCTGAAGCATTGTGCTAACTGCTACAACACTCCCGGGGGGCAGGGGGTGTCTCTCAACCATTTGTAAAGAGAGGGCAGCATCATTATCCCCCATTTTACAGAACGGGAAGTTGGGGCTCAAGGTTTCATCTAGGAACACACAGCATGTCAAAGCTAGGAACAGAATCCAGGAGTCGTGGGAGCCAGTCACCAGTGCTCTCACCACTCAGACACACTCTTAATCACATGGTGCCTGAGCTCAGAAGATTACACCCTCCCCCAGGTGGAATAATGCAGTTGGGGGAAAACCAAGCAGAAACTCCCCAAGATTTAACCCCAGCCCAAAACAGCTGCTTTCACAGTGGGGCAGGACTGAGAAGAGCAGATCCCAAATCTTTGAGCTTTAGCACCCCTATTCGTAAAGGCCACAGCATTATGTGAGCCTCTGATGTGCTCAGCACACAGGCAGAGAATTGCCCCATCAGCTTTCACTGAGCAGCCCCCTGCCCTAGCAATGAATGAGGGATTCTCACAGATCCTTTGCCTCCTCTTGTCTGAGAGGGGAGGGGGGATGTGTGATAATTGCTTTCCTTTTTCTGTTACCTGGGACTGGGAGATTGAAATGAGTGAGTCAGCCCCTATTGAGGGGGACTGGAAGGGAGGGGACACCTGTAAACTAGGGCTTTATCAGAGTGGGAATGATAGAGGGCTGACAGGGAGTGGGGACATGTTAGCAGGAGTACTGTGTGCTGGAGCAAAGCTGTGTTGGAAGAGAAGGAACTATGATATCCACACAGGGTGATAGTGGGGCTGGAAGAGAGCGAGAGCAACATATTACTGCCCCCTGCTGCTATCCCAGCCCTGGGCTCCCCACACACAGCTCTGCCAGTGCCCCTCCCCCTGCCCTGCAGCCCCCTGCTACCCCAGCCCTGGGCTCCCCACACACAGCTCTGCAGATGCTCCTCACTCCTGCCCCTCAGGGCCTCTCCCCACTGTCCTGTTTTGAACTTCTGACTCATCGCTCCCTCAATGCCCTTTGATCCTGAATTGCAGCCCCTCAAGCCCCTCCCTTCATCTCTCTGCTGTTCCAGCCTCATGAGTAGCGACCGATTTGCCAAATTAAGGTTGTGGTTTGTGATGTAGAGAAGCATCTCTTGGAGAGTCAACTGAGACCACTAAGCTCATTTCACTTATGAGTGAAATAGGGATTGATGTCCAGGTTCTCAGTAGTGACCTGCTAACATGTTACCTCACTACACTCATTAGACCCTAAGGAACAAGTCCTCTAAGATGACGATGAATCCTCAGTCAAGAATGTGTGCGCATGCGCTCATGTCTTCCTGGCATTGAGCCCTATGGGATCTGTGCTTGTTCCTCCTTTGGGTGGCTCTGGTTTACATGGTTGTGGCTGGGCGGGGAGTCGCCAAAGCAAGGCGAGGCTTAACTTATTTCTTCGTTTCCCATGCTCTCCAGAGCAAGTCACTGCTGTCTGCTGGAGGGGCCGGGCCGCGCCGCCTCTGCAGCCCTAGCGCAGCAGCTTGGCAGGAAGGATGAGGTCATCTTATGCTGACAGCCCTGTTTTCCTCGAGCTGGTGGATTCTGAGGCACAGTGTGTATAAAGTGCTGGTGTCACCTGCAGGCTTATTGCTCATGGCTGGGCGCTGGGTGGGGAAAGGCTGACCAGATCACATTGGGCATGGGGTCAAGACTTCCCAGAGGTGGTTCCCAGGACATTACCTGGCACAGCAGCAGCAGTTCAGTGTCTCTAACCCCTTGTTGTTCCACAAACAGGAAAGACACAGAGGTGCATATATATCCGTCACTTCTGGGGGTTTAAGAGTCAGACCTGTAGGCACTGGTTGGGCAGAGAGGGCCCTGTTCTCCCTGAGATCTGCCCATCCTGCAGCAGCTAGGATGGTCCTGCCTGGGACCCTTTGGCTCAGTTAGATTTTTGTGTGCCTCTGATCATCCATTGCTGCCTCATGTCCCCTTTCCTGTTCAGGTGGTTCACCTCCTGCAGTGAAAATGAGACAGATAGAGCTGTTGCAGGGCTACTTGACTCCATTATAGGAATCTGCTAGCAGCAGAATGGGTTGAGCATGTTGCATAGATGCCAGGTCTCCCAGGGTGTTAGCTACAGAGATTCCTGGGGTGCTGCCACTTGACACTTAAAGCAAAAAGCCAGACCCCTGCAGATAACATCCAGTATATTTTTGAAGCCATCTGCATCCATGAACATGGATATCTGCGGGCCATGTTTGTGGAGCGTGTAGATTTTGTATCTGCACAGGGCTTTACATATAGACATCCTGTCAGGGCCGGTTATGTCCAGATGTTTCCAGACCCAGAGAGTGCCAAACTAGAGAGGTTCAACCTGTATAATTAAATTTAACATACTTGTGGCAGGAAAAACACCACAACAGCCCAACACTGTGGCATTTAATTTCAGAAAACAGAACTAAACAAAAATGAGCAGGCTAGTTAAACAGAAATTAAAAGGCACAGTGCCAAAAGTGAAATACTTGCAAATTGCATGGAAACTTTTCAGAGACACCATAATAGAGGTTCAATTTAAATGTATATCTAAATTAAAAAACATAGAGGATCAAAAAAGTGCCACCGTGGCTTAAAGACCAAGTAAAAGAAGCAGTGAAAGGTAAAAAGGCATCATTTTAAAAAGTGGAAGTTAAATCCCAGTGAGGAAAATAGAAAGGAGCATAAATTCTGTCACACAAAGTGTAAAAATGTAATTAGGCAGGTCAGAAAGGAATTTGAAGAACAGCTAGACAAAGCTCAAAAAGTAATAACAATTTTTTGTAAGAACCTCAGAAGCAGAAAGCGTGCCAAACAACCAGTGAGGCCACTGGATGATTGAGATGCTAAAGGCACACTCAAGGACAATAAGGTCATTGCAGAGACACTAAATAGATTCTTTGCATTGGTCTGAGGACGTGAGGGAGATTCCTACACCTGAGCTATTAGTTTTAGTTGACAAATCTGAGGAACTATCTCGGATTGAGGTGTCCTTAGAGGAGGTTTTGGAACTAATTAAGAAGTAACAAATGACCAAGACCTGCTGACATTCATCCAAGACTTCTAAAGGAACTTAAATGTGAAATTGCGGACCCCTACCAACTGTGGTTTGTAACCTATCCTTTAAATCATCTTCTGTATCAAATGACTAGGTGATAACTAGTGTGATGGCAGTTTTTAATTTGTACCAATTATAGGCAGGTAAGTCTGACTTCAGTACCAGGCAAATTGGTTGAAACTATAGTAAAGAAAAGAATTGTTGAACACATAGCCGAGCATAATTTGTTGGGGAAAATTCAACATTGCTTTTTGTAAAGGGAAATCATGCTTTATCAATCTACTAGCATTCTTTAAGAGGGACAAAAAGCATGTGGACAAGGGGGATCCGGTGGATATAGTGTACTTAGATTTCCAGAAAGCCTTTGACAAGATCCCTCACAAAAGGCTCTTGAGCAGAGTTGGACAAGATGCAGCCTGGGGGCTGGATCTGGCCCACCTAACACTTTGATCCGGCTTTCTATTTATGTCCTGTTGCCAGCACCACTGAATTTCCAGGCAGTGACTCAGGCAGCAAGATCTTATTTAAATGGCTCCCGGTCACAACACTACCCCAGCTGGGGCCGGAGCTGCCTGCGAGCTCTTTGCTGTGTTTTTAGTTCAAAGCCTCTGGCCTGAGATGACTCCAGGAGGAGGCAAGTCCCCAGCCCCACCCTTTCCATCCCAGACCCCGCCCCTTCTGGTAGTGGAGCCAGCCCATGACCACATATCAAACATGGTCCCCCTACAAGCAGTTGAGCAAAGTAAGCTGTCATGGGATCAGAGGGAAGGGTCTCTCATGGATTGATAACTGTTTGAAAGATAGGACACAAAGGATAGGAATAAATGGTCAGTTTTTGGAATGGAGAGAGGTGAAAAGTGGTGTCACCCAGAGGTATGTACTGGCACCATTTCTGTTCAATATATTCATAAATGATCTGGAGAAAGGGGTAAAAAGTGAGGTGGCAAAATTTATAGATGTTACAAAACTGCTCAAGATAGTTAAGTCAAAAGTAGGGATGTCAAGCAATTAAAAAATGTAATCACGATTAATCGCTCGATTAAAAAATTTAATCACAATTAATAGCATGATTAAGGGCGTGCACTGCCCCTTTGAAATGCTGCGGCAATGTTTCAAAGGGGCAGCGCTGCAGAAGCCCGGGATCAGTGGGAGTCCTCAACTGACCCCAGGCTCAGTGCAGCTGCCCCTTTGAAACGCAGTGGTGGCTTTTCAAAGGGGCAGCACCGCGGGAGCCTGGGATCAGCTGGAGTCCCCAGCTGACCCCAGCTCAGTGCAGTGCTGCCCCTTGGAAAGGCCGCCCTGATGCCAGACCAGCGCTTCAAAGGGGCAGCGCAACGTGGAGCCGGGGATCACTGGGCACACCAGCTGATACCCGGCTCCTAATGCGCTGCCCCTTTGAAGCACTGGAGCAGCACTTCAAAGGGGCAGGACGGCATTAACACCTGCAATTAACGTGTTAAAAATATTACTGCATTAATTCTTCCCAGCGTTAATCGCAGGCATTAACGTACATCAATTGACAGCCCTAGTTCAAAGCAGAGCTTTAAAAAGATCTCACAAAACTTAGTGATTGGGCAACAAAATGGCAGATGAATTCGAACATTGATAAATGCAAAGTAATGCATATTGGAAAACATAATCCCAGATACATGTATAAAATGATGGGGACTAAATTAGCTGTTACCACTAAAAAGAGGGATCTTGGAGTCCTTGTGGACAGTTCTCTGAAAAAATCCATTCAGTGTGCAGCGGCGGTCAAAAAAGCAAACAGAATGTTAGGAATCTTTAATAAAGGGATAAAGAATAAGACAGAGAATATCTTATTGCCTCTATATAAATCTTGGTACTCCCACATTTTTAATACTTCATGCAGATGTGGTCACCTCATCTCAAAAAAATATATTGGCATTGGAAAATGTTCAGAAAAGGGCAACAAAACCTATTAGGGGTATGGAACGGCTGCCTATATAGAGAGATTAAAAAGACTGGGACTTTTCAGGCTAGAAAGACACAACTAAGGGGGATATGATAGAGCTCTATAGAATCATGACAGATGTGGAAAAAGTGAATAAAGAAGAGTCATTTACCCCTTTCCGTAACACAAAAACTAGGGGGTCACCAAATTAAATTAGTAGTAGCAGGTTTTAAGCAAACTAAAGGAAGTGTTTCTTTGCACAACACACAGACAACTTATGGAACTCCTTCCCAGAGGATGTTATGAAGTCCAATACTATAACAAGGTTCAAAAAGAGCTAGATAAATTCATGAAGGATAGGTCCATCAATGGCTGTTAACCACAATGGGTAGGAATGGTGTCCCCAGCCTTAGTTTGCCAGGAACTGGGAATAGGCAACAGGCGATGGATCACTTGATAATTACCTGTTCTCTTCATTCTCTTGGGGACACTTGGAGTTGGCCACTGTTGGAAGTTTGGATATCAGGATAAATGGACTTTTGATCTGACCCAATATGGCTGTTCTTATGTTCTTGTGTTTTTTACCTCTAGGTCTTTCTCAGAAAGGAAGTGGATGTGAAGGAAGAAAAACAGGAGGCCAGGAGCCCCCACGCTGGTGATTTCTGCTCTCCAGTGGACCAGGGCTCCCCGTTCCATATGGTACAACCCTGGTTCTTTTGATTTATAAAGGACTGTGTGGGTGTTGTCCTGGGGAGGGATATTCTGGGTTGGTTTGGTGTAGGGATGTAATAGTGTAGTCAATTAACCGATAAGCAAATGCTTATAGGTTAATGTTAGGGCTGTCAATTGATGTGCATTAATGCCTGCAATTAACACATGAAAGGATTACTGCGTTAATTTTTTTAACACGTTAATCGCAGGCGTTAATGCTGTGCTGCCCCTTTGAAGCATTGCTCCAGGACTTCAAAGGGGCAACGCATTAGGAGCTGGGGATCAGCTGGAGTCCCCAGCTGACCCCAGGGTCCGTGCAGTGCATTAGGAGCCATGGCGAAGGAGGCACGGGCAGCGAGCAGCAGGAAGGGCCAGCTGATCCCCGGCTCCGCGGTACACTGCCCCTTTAAAGGGACAGAGCAATGTGGAATCAGGGATCAGCTGGACACTCCATCTGACCTTTGGCTCCTAATGCACTGCCCCTTTGAGGTGCTGGGGCAGCGATTCAAAGGGGCAGTGCTGCACGGAGCCCAGGGTCAGCTGGGGACTCCAGCTGACCCCAGGCTTCCACAGCGCTGCCCCTTGGAAACACGGTACACTGCCCCTTTAAAGGGACAGAGCAATGTGGAATCAGGGATCAGCTGGACACTCCATCTGACCTTTGGCTCCTAATGCACTGCCCCTTTGAGGTGCTGGGGCAGCGATTCAAAGGGGCAGTGCTGCACGGAGCCCAGGGTCAGCTGGGGACTCCAGCTGACCCCAGGCTTCCACAGCGCTGCCCCTTGGAAACACCAGGGTGGCGTTTCCAAGGGGCAGCTGCACTGAGCCGGGGTCAGCTGAGGACTCCAGCTGAGCCCGGGCTTCCGCAGCGTTTCAAAGGGGCGTTCACGCGATTAATCACAAAAAATGTTTTTAATCGCTTGACAGCCCTAGTTAATACTATAGAGTACACGCATTCCCCCTCCTCCCCTTGACAGTAAATTTTTTAGCATGCTGGCTGGCAGCCTGGCTCAGTCCTGGCTTGTGCTGGGTCCAGGGCCTAGGCTCTCTGCAGCTCTGCATTTAAAATGTATTAGGAGCCAAGCAGGCGGGCAGCCCGGCTGAGTTCCGGCTCGTGGTGGAACTGTATCCGCCAGGCAGCCAACCCGCGAGGGGAGCTGTTTTTTAAACTGGCTCCCCTCACAGACCAGCTTCCGCCTGGTACCCCGCGCTGCTGCCTCTGTATCACAGACAGCAGTGAGGAGTGGCAGGGGGCTCTTTGGGAGTGGGGCTGGAGTGCACTGTCTGCTGGCCCCGCCCCCGGGGACTATAGAATTGTCGAGTAACCAATAAGAATTCAGGAGGTATCTCGACTATTCACTTAACCAATAATTAACATCCCTAGTTTGGTGCTGCATGAATGTGGCCTGCGAGGGCCCTCTGTATCACAGACAGCAGTGAGGAGTGGCAGGGGGCTCTTTGGGAGTGGGGCTGGAGTGCACTGTCTGCTGGCCCCGCCCCCGGGGACTATAGAATTGTCGAGTAACCAATAAGAATTCAGGAGGTATCTCGACTATTCACTTAACCAATAATTAACATCCCTAGTTTGGTGCTGCATGAATGTGGCCTGCGAGGGCCCTTTCCTGAGCGCAAAGATAGCTGGGAAAAGTGAGCTCCCTTCTACTCCAGGTGTGATGAAAAGCCAGTGAAACAGGAGGTAATGGAGCCTCTCATTTAGAATCCTTGTGGCAAATGCGCTCCATGCCAGTTGTGGGGCTTCAGTTTGAGCGAGCTTGTGATGTCTATGGAGAAGACCCCGTTGCTGAGCAGCCCTGCGCACAAGTGTTGGTGCTGCTTATTTGACCCAGGCTGGGTTAAGGCACCATGGGTCTATGCCCAGGGCCCAGGCTTATGGGGTCACATGATGGTGCCAAACTCTGTTTCCAGGGTTGTTTCTCTGGTCCTTGAGGTTGCATAGAAAAGCTGGCGAAACGTGGCCCAAGTGTAGTGAGCGCAGTGTGGTCTGCCGACAGAGAGCCTGGCATGATTCCCCCAAGGGGGTACGCGGCCTGACCTATCTCGGGTAACACTGCTGCTCCAAGTGCCCCACTGATACCATCCCAGCAGAGGACTCTGTGTGTTGCGAGACCCTCACGGCTAGGGCGGTGTCAAACCTCCCCACCGAGTCCTCAGCTTCAGTGGTTGAGGGCTGAATCCTCCCTTCCCAGAGACAGAGCCCAGCCCAGCCTGATGACAGGGAGCAGTGACACAGTGCAGAGCCATGCCCATGTCATGGTGATGGGTGTGTCTAGGGCCCTCGATTGCCTTAGTCTAGCCCTGCTGCCAGGGCAGGTTTGGTAAGAGGGCTGATGAGGGTTACAGGTTTGTTGAAGGTGGCAGTGAGCAAAGAGCCTGCTGGCTCAGTTCGGTGCTGTATGGGGGAGGGATTTGTCCATCCAGTTCAGATCAATACTCATTTCCCAGCTGATTTATTCTTTACCCTGGGTCCTCCCATTGCTGGAGCTCTGAGCTTCAGCTTCTTGTGGACGGATCAGCTGCCATCTCATTGCTGCCTTCTCGCGCCACGCACCCCTTGGCCACAGCATGTGGACTGTCGTCAGGATGTCCGGTTCCCCATTCAAACAGAATTCCAGCCCCCAGAGGCTTCGTGGAGACAGAATTGGTCACCCCCATGGTCAGGCACAGAGAGAGGCAGGAGAGCCCCTTGGCATTGGTCATAGAGCAATAAGGCCAAGGGACCGGAGACACAGAAGTCTAGCCAGAGAACTTCAGCCAGTGTGCCCCACAGGCTGTGTGGCAGCTGCTGTGTTCTAGGGGAGCTGTGTCCTGGTATGGCCCCGCCCCATGGCAGGGCGGGGGGAAGTCCTTTACATGATCCCATCTCCAGATTGTTCTTGCCTTCTGCAGCTGGGCTGCTCAGGGGGTCTGGGTCAGCAAACAGCCCTGCTGGGGGTGGGGGAAATCATCCTGCAAGATTACAACTCTACTGACAAGCTACGTTACTCACCACCCACAGCGCGGCCTAGTTCCACCTCTCCCCACTCCATGCCAAGTGCTGCGCCTTGATCTGTCCCCTCCCAGCTTGATCTGCTAGCCAGGCCCTACCTTCCCTTCTCAGGGGCATGCACACAACCTTCACTATTAAAGCTATGGCGTATCGCCCACTACTGCCGATCCCTGTCCTTGTGGCTGGACTGTATGCTCCATGGGGCCGTGTCCACAACTGGTGCCATACCAGGCTTCTCTGCCTGCTCCGTCTCCCAGGAGAGGCTGGCACTGAGCTTCCTCCATGCAGCAGGACGTGAGATCCTCACAACCCCAGCCCTCTGCAAGGGTTTGTGCAGCTGGACTTCGGGCTGAGCTTGGAGGAAGGCCAATCCCGTCGCTGGCTGACCTTCTCTGTCGCCCCCGTCAGAGCTGGAGCCCGGACAGAACATTCCGTCAGCGCTGACCACGGGAGCCAAACCCCAGAGGAAATGCAGAGCTTCTCCCCCTTGACGAGTTACTTAAAATAAGAGTCTCCAGATGCCCCTGGAGGAGCTGTGGGCTGAGCTCAC